GGAGGAGGAGCTCGGCCTGGAAGGCTGGCTGGAGGAAGTCTGGGCGTGGAGACGCCGATCGGAGGCAGGACCGGGCCCGGAAGGCACCGTGGGGCCCGGCTTCAGGACATTTGGGGCCTACAAAGCCGCGGAGCGGGGGCTGGCCGGAGGCCGAGTCCAAAGAGGTTGTCGTGAGGCCGGGGCTGGGCCTGCGGCCGCAGCCGGAGCAGGAGAGCTGGGCCTGGACGGGAGGCCGGGAGCCACAACGGGACCTGGAGAGGCCGACCTGAAGAAGTTCGGGGCCTGAGAGACCGCCAAAAGGCAAAGCTGGGCCTGGAAAGGCGTTCCGTGGACGAATGCGCGGGCCTAGTGAGGCCACTGGGAGGCAGAGCGTGGGCCCGGCGGAGCTGCCGAAAGGCAGGAGGAGCCTCTGGCCTGGGGAGGCGCAGTCAGGCGAGAGCTGGCGGTGGAGAGTCCGCTGGGAGGCAGAGGCTGGGCCCTGTGCAGGGCCTTTCGGGAGGCAGGAGCTGGGGCCTGGTGAGGCCCACTGGGAGGTCAAGTCCTGGGCCTGACGGGGCGCCCAGAGGCGTGAGCGGGCTGGGCCTCAAGAGGCCAGTGGCAGGCAGGAGGAGCTGGCATGGAGAGGCTGACCTGAGGAAGTCTGGCAGCTGGAGAGGCCCGCGGAGAGGCAGGAAGCTGGGCCGCGGAGCCGACTGCGACGAGTTGGCCCGCAGGGGCCGCCGGGAGCAGGAGCGAGCCCTGGAGAGGCCATCTGAGCCAGCGTGGGCCTGCAGAGGCGCCGGGAGGAGGAGCTGGGCCTGAGAGGCTGGCTGGAGGAACTCTTGGGGCGTGGAGACGCCGTCGGATGGGCAGGAGCCGGGCGGAGGCCACCGTGGGCCGAGCTTCAGGACGTTTGGGGCCTACAAAGGCCGCGGAGCGGGGCAGCTGGGCCGGAGCCGAGTCCAAAGAGGTTGTCGTGAGGCCGGGCTGGGCGCGGCAGCAGACCGGGACAGGAGGAGCTGGGCCTGGACGGGAGGCCGGGGAGCGCAACGGGCCTGGAGAGGCCGGCCTGAGGGAAGTTCGGGCCTGAGAGGCCTGCCAAAGGCAAAGGCTGGCTGGAAAGGGCCGTTCCCTGTAGAATGCGCGGGGCCTAGGAGGCACTGGGAGGCAGAGCGGGGCCCGGCGGAGCTGCCGAAAGGCAGGAGGAGCTCTGGCCTGGGAGGCTGCAGTCAGGCGAGAGCTGGGCGTGGAGAGTCTGCTGGGGAGGCAGAGGCTGGGCCCGGTGCAGCCTTCGGGGAGGCAGGAGGCTGGGCTGGCGAGGCGACTGGAGGTCAAGCTCCTGGGCCTGAGGAGGGCCGCCAGAGCGTGAGCGGGGCTGGGCCTCAAGAGGCAGTGGCAGGCAGGAGGACTGGGCCTGGAGAGGCTGACCGGAGGAAGTCTGCCGCTGAGAGGCCACGGAGAGGCAGGAGCTGGGGCCGGCGGAGGCCGACTGGGCGACGAGTTGGGCCCGCAGGGGCCGCCGGGAGCAGGAGCGAGCCCTGGGGAGGCCGACTCGAGGCCAGCGTGGGCCTGCAGAGGCCGCCGGAGGAGGAGATGGGCTGGAGAGGCTGGCTGGAGGAAGTCTGGGGCGTGGAGACGCCGTCGGAGGGCAGGAGCCGGGCCCGATAAGGCCCACCGTGGGGCCGGCTTCAGGACGTTTTTTGGCCCACAAAGGACCGTGGAGCGGGAGCTGGGCCGGAGCGAGTCCAAAGAGGTTGTCGTGAGGCGGGGCTGGGCCCGCGGCCCGCAGCTTGGGAGGCAGGAGGAGCTGGGTCTGGTCGGGAGGGCGGGAGGCCTCAACGGGGGCCTGGAGAGGTCCGGCCTGAGGAAGTTTCGGGGCCTGGAGAGGCCGCCAGAAGGCAAAGAGTGTGGGCCTGGAAAGGCCATTCCCTGAGAGGAATGAGCGGGCCTAAAGCGGCCACTGGAAGGCCAGGAGTGGTGGCCTGTCGAAACTGCCGGCAAGTCAGGAGCACCTCTGGACTGCGGAGGCCGAAAGAGCTTGATTGGAAACAGGTATCTGGCCTAAAAGACGCTTGGGGCAGGATATATGGCAGGGAGCTGAGACAAAAGTTGTGTTTTCAGAGGCAGGGAGTTGGGGCCCTGTATATGCAGCCGGGTGGGAAGACCTTGGGCCTGTCGAGGGTTGCCATGAGACAGGAGTCTGGGCCTGCCAAAGGTCGTCAGGAGGCAGTAGCTAGAACCTGGGACGATCCAACTTCAGGATGGTTTGGGGCCTGCAGAGTCCCCCATTGTGGGGTGGAATTTGTCCGCTGTGAGCTTGCGTGAGGAAGTTTTGGGCCTATATAGGCCGTCAGGAGCTTGGCAAAAAGGGACATCCACAGAGGTTGTTGTCTGGTTGGATTGAGCGTATAAACACAGCGGGAAGAAGATCTGGGCCAGGAGAGACCACCATGTGGCAGCAAATGGGTCTGGAGAGTCCGATTTGAGGACGTTCTGGGCCTTGGGAAGCCATCAACAGGGAAAAACTGGGCTGTAAAATCCATTATGTAGAATGAGCTGGTCCTGAAGAGGTCCACTGGGAGGCAGGAGTTGGGCTGGAGAGGCTAACTTCGGCAGTGTGCACCTGGGGAGTCTATTAGAGGCAAGAGCGGGCCTAGAGAGGCGAGGAGGTCAATTTTAGCCTGCAGAGCCACAGAAGAAGGAGTTGGTCCTGGAGAGGGCAAATTGAGGACAATTGGCTGCTGGGAGGGAAGGCTGGCCTGGAAGACCGACTGGAGTAATTTAAGGGCATGGAGACGATGCACAAAAGCAAACGCTTGGCCTGGGAAAGTCTGCTGTGAGGCATTAGCTTGACCTACACAGCACTGGGAGCAGGACCTGGGCCTGCAGAGGCTGACTTCAGGACGATTTGGGACTGGCAGAGGCCTTTGGAGGAAGACCTTGGCCTGGACAGGCTGAATGGAGGAAGTTTTGGGCCTGGAGTATGCGTCAAAAAGCAAAAAGTTAAGCTAGGGAAGGCCACCGGGAGATGTGAGCTTGGGCCTACAGAGGCCATTGTGAGGCGGAGTTTCACCTGAGGAGGCCATGATCTGGTGGGCCTGGAAGGGCCACTGTGTGGTAGAGTTTGGGCCTCTGTAGGCTGACCTCGTGAGGTAGGAGCTGGGTTGGGAGAGGGCAAACTTTTAGAGAATTGAGGGCCTGCAGAGGCTGCCAGGAGGCAAGAGCTATGCCTGGAGAGTCCACCTTTTGGCATGAGCTGGGCCTAAAGGGCCATTGTGAGGCAGCAGCTGGACTTGTCAAGCTGCTGGGAGACGGCAGTTTGGGCTGAGGAGCTGCCGGAGGCAATGTGTTTTTGGAGGTTCCGGAGCAGGGAGAAACTTGGCTTTTGTAGCTGCCATGAGGGAATAGTTTGATTGCTGAGGCTGCCGGGAGGCGAAGGTGGGCCTGGAAAGCTTTACATTAAGAAGTCTGTGGCCTACGAGGCTGCAGCAGCTCGGCAGGAGTTGGGCCAAAGGAAGTTGTTTTGAGGCAGGAAATGGCCTGTAGTGCAGCCGGAGAATGAGCTCGTCCCAGAGATGCCAAGTTCAGGATATTCTGGGCCTGGACAGGCTGCAAAAAGCAAAATCTGTGCCTGGAAAAGTCACCATGGGGCATGCGCTTGGCCTAAAGAGGCCATTGCAAGGCAGGAGATGGCCCTGTAGAAGCTGCCAAAGGGCAGGATCTTCACCTGAGGATGCCACAGTAAGACATGATCTGGGTCTGCAGGGTCCACTGTGAGGCAGAGGCTGGCCTGTAGAGTCCGACAGTAGACAGAAGGTGGCCTAAAAAGGCTGATTTGAGGACGTTTTGGGCTTCAAGAGTCAGTCAGAAGGCAGGCACTGGGCCTGGATAGGGCCTGACAGTCAGGAGTTGGACCTAAACAGGCCAGTGTGGAGGAGGAGCTGTGCCTGTTGAGGCTGCTGGCAGGCAGTCAGAAACTTGGCCTGGGGCAGCTGCCACGAGGCAAGAGCTGGGCCTGGAGAGGCTGCCAAGATGAGGAGCTGGGCCTGGAGAGGCCAGTGTGAGGCAAGAGACCAGCCTGTAGAGGCTGACTTGAGGAAGATTTTGGTCTGGAGAGACTGTCGGGGGCAGGAGCTGGCCCTTTCGAGCCTGCTGGGAGGCAGGCAGGAACTTGGCCAAGGACGGACCCCGTTAAGCAAGAGCTGAGCCTGGAGAGGCCATGGTCACGCAGGAGCTGGACCTATTTAGCTGCTGGGAGGCAGGTTGTGCTAGAGAACCTGATGTGAGAAAGCTTTGGGCCTATAAGGCTGCCAGGAGCTGGGCAAGAGCTGAGCTGAAAGAGGTTGTTGTGACGTAGGAGACGGGCCTGGAGATGCAGTCAGGAGGAAGAGCTGAGCCTGAAGAGGCCCACTTGAGGAAGTTCTGGGCCTGGAGATGCTGCCGACAGGCAAAAGTCGAGCCAGAATGGCCGCTGTGAGGCATGAGCTTGCTCTAGAGAGGTCATTGAGAGGCAGGAGCTGGGCCTGGGAGAGGCTGCTGAAAGGCAGGAGCTTGGCCTAGGTGGCCAGGAAAGTCTCCTGCGAGGCAGAGGTTGAGCCTATGGAGGCTGACGGGAGGCAGGAGTTTGGGCCTGGAATGGCAGACCTGAGAAAGTTCTTGGTCTAGGAAGCTGCCAGGATGCAGGAGCTGGGCCTGGAGAGGCCTGGAGAGGCCATCAAGGCATGAGTCCTGCCTAAAGAGGCCAATGTTGGGCAGAGCTGTGACTGGAGAGGCTGACTTGAGGAAGTTTTGGGCACGGACAGCCTGTCGGGGGCAGGACCTGGGCCTGGACAGGCCACAGTGAGGCATGAGCTGGGCCTAACGAGGTTAGTGTGAGGCAGGATCTGGGCCCATCGAGCTGGCCGGGAGGCAGGTAGGAGCTTGTTTGGAGAACATGTCCGTGAGGCAAAAGCTGGGCCTGGAGAGGCCATTGTTACGTAGGAGCTGGGCCTGTCCAGGCCATTGGGAGGCAGAGGGTGGGCCTAGGAAAGCTTGACTTGAGGCACTTTTGGGCCTTCAAAGGCCACCAGGAACTGGGCAGGAGCTGAGCCAAAAGAGGTTGTTCTGAGGCAGGAGTTGGGCCTCCAGGCACAGCCAGAAGTAAAAGCGCAGCCTGTAGAGGTCACCTGGGGACAGCAGCTGGGCCTGGAGAGGCCAACGAAAGGCAGGAGCGGGGCCTTCAGAGGCCGACTTGTGGACATTTTGGGCCTGGATTTTGTGGCCTGGAGTTGAGGACATTTGGGCCTCCTGCAAAGAGGCAGGAGCTGGGACTAAAGAGGCCATTGTAAGGCAGGAGCTGGGCCTGTACAGGCTGCCGGGAGTCAGAAGATGGGCTCATGAGGCCACTGTAAAACAGGAGCTGGATCTCGGAAGGTGGCCGTGAGGCAAATGCTGGCCCTTGGGAGGGCAATGAGAGGCAGGAGCTGGGTCTGGTGAGGTCGACTTGAGAAAGTTCTGGGCCTGGAGAGAAGACTGGGAGGCAGAAGCTGGCTCTAAAGAGGCCGTGGTAACGATGGAGCTGGGCCTGTGGAGGCTGTTGTGAGGCAGTAGCCTTATCCGCGGAGACCGCTGTGAGGTAGGGTACGGGCCTAAATAGACCACTGTGAGTCATGAGCTTGGTCTGTAGAGGCCGACTGGAGAAAGTTTGGGGCCTGGAGAGGCTGCAGAGGCTGCCGGGAGGCAAGACCTGGGCCAAAAGATTCAAGTATGTTACATTATTAGGTACTTTATTTCCATTATTAAATTGTGATATATAGGAAAGTATTATGGAACTCACCATAATGTAGAATCAGTGGGCATGTTAAGCTTGTTTTCCTGCGACTAGATGGTCCCATCTGAGCGTGACGGGAGAAAGTGACAGATCATTAGGCATTAGATTCTCATAGGGACAGCAAAACCTAGATGCCTCGCATGCACGGTTCACAACAGGGTGCGTGCTCCTATGAGAATCTAATGCTGCTGCTGACCTGAGAGAAGGTGGAGCTCAGGCGGGAATGTGAGCAAAGGGGAGTGGCTGTAAATACAGATGAAGCTTCCCTCACTCACTACCACTCACCTCCTGTTGTGTGGCTCCTTACAGCTCCATGGCTCAGGGGTTGGGACCCCGCTCAAGTGCATCCAAAAGGACCCTTCCCACACCAGTCTTCATAGTGGTCAACTGCAGCAACCACTTAGCTCCCAAGGCATGTGCCTCAGTTGGCATTTCATCACAATCAACAGTAAGTGGTAGCTTGAGTCACTGTGAGGTCACTTACCGGAAATCACCGCATCCCATTTCCCATTGGCAAGGAACTCAGCACTGTCCCTTGGAAAATCAAACCTATGCCCAAATCCATCTGTGTGAGTTTCTCTCTGGGACCCTTCCGAGCATATTAGTCAGAGTCCAATCAGGAGACATAAACCACTCAAAAGTTTAAAGTGGTAAAATTTAATCCAGAGAATTATTCATTGTAACAGGGGAACAGCATAATGAGAGATTGGCTAGCACAAAGTAAAGAGAACTCTAGAGAAATCAGGACTAGCCCAGGCAGGCATGGTGGCTCATACCCAAAATTCCAGCAATTTGAGAAGCTAACACAGGAGGACTGCTTAAGGCCAGGAGCTAGAGACCGGTCTGGACAACACAGTGAGACCTGTCTCTATTCAAAAAAGAAAAAAATTAGCTGGGAGTGGTGGTCACACTTGTAGTCTCAGCTACTCAGGAAGCTGAAGTTTGATCCTGGGAGATCAAGGCTGCAGTGAGTCATGATTATGCCACTACAGTCAAGCCTGGGTGACAGAGCAAGACCCTGTCTCAAAGAACAAAACAACAACAACCATTTACAGACAGAAAAGAAATAGAGCTAATAAGCTAAGGAAAGATGTAGAAATGTGACAAGTAAAGTAATATGAGGTCTTTTACCAATTTAAAAAAACAAAAAATGACATTAAATTTAATACCCTGTGCTGGCAAAGATGCAGTGAAATGGGCACTTTCTTATACTATGAGGGGTGTTTAAATTGTATATAAGCCTTCCAGGGTAAAGCTTGACAATTTTTTAAAATAATAGAGACAGGGTCTCACCATACTGCCAAACTGCCTCCTCCAACTCTTGGCATCAAGCAATCCTCCTGTCTTAGCCTCCCAAAGTGCTGAGATTATAGCTGGGAGGCACCCAAAACCTTGTCAATTTGACATCAAGGGTAATGAGAATGTCCATTCACCATGACTCACAGTAATCTTACTTCTGCAAATACCTTGGGGAGACAATTCAATCTAAACAAAGGTCATCTGTACAAACACAGTGAAAATCTGGGAGTAACGGAAGACAGAGTGGTTAAGTGAAATAAGAAACAGTTATAAGAAATTAAACCATGGTATTAACAGGCAACTGGTAAAAGCTCAGTTGATGTTAGCTGCTACTTTTTTGTTGTTTTGAGACAGTATCTCACTCTGTCACCCAGGCTGGAGTGCAGAGGCCTGATCATGACTCACTGCAGTCTCAGCCTCCCTGGGCTCAAGCGATCCTCCCACCTCAGCCTCCCAAGTAGCTGGGACTACAGGAACATGCCACCACACTAGGTTAATTCATGTATTTTTCTGTAGGGATGGTGACTCCCTTTGTTTCCAAGGCCTGTCTCAAACTCTTGGCCTCAAGCCATCCTCCTGCCTCAGCCTCCCAAAGTGTTGTGATTACTGGTGTAAGCCACCACACCTGGCCAGCTGCTACTTTTATCAATATTATCATTACTCCACTCAGTTAAAAATTATTATTTTCAAGGCTATGTAATACTATGTGTCCTACAGCATAATTGTAAAAACATATACAGTCGTCCCTCGGTATACAGACAGAATTAGTTCCAGCCCCCATCTCTGCATATACCAAACTCCATGCTTACTCACGTTTCGCCGTCACCCCTCTGGAACCCACGTATAGGAAAATTCCAAATATTAGTTGGGCATAGTGGCAAGCACCTATAGTCTCAGCCACGTGGGAGGCTGAGACGGGAGGATTGCTTGAGCCTGGGAGGTTGAGGCTGCAGTCACTGTGATAGCACTACTACACTCCAGACTGGACAACAGAACGAGACTCTGCCTCAGAAAAAACAAAATAAAACAAAACAGGTTAGAAATTGTAATGAGGCCTGTTGGGCAAAATTCCGTATAAGAAAGTATAAATTAATAAAGCAAATGGCGATAAATTAGTATGACTGACTTTCTCGAGTTTCTGACAATAAAGGTAAGAAAAATGCAAAACACAGAGACAGAGGGTAAAAGAAATTAAGAAAGCATTCAACATGTTTAAGAGGAAGACACTGGCCATGTTTGTGCAGCAGCAGTATGTCACGATATGACATACCTTGGAGAGAAGTTAACAGATGAGGAAGTTCATAAAAATGATCAGAGAAGCAAAATACTGATAGCGATACTCAAGTAAACCACAAAATTTCCATAACTCATGTCAGCAAAGTGGGAATATTGTAGTGTGTGTTGACGTTCCTATACAACACTGTTTATTTGCCTTATGTTTGTTTGCAAGGAATGTATATACTAAAAGTTCTTCTTGCTGTCAAAAGAATATGTGTAAGTCATCTGAACTTATTCTTCTGTTTTTCTATTTTTATCTTCCTGCCATCATCCTACAGCCTTACTTTAGAAATGTTTTTTTGTTTAGAAATTGAACAAGTGCTCGTTGTGGCAGCTCATACCTCTAGGATGGGAGGCAGGGGTGAAAGGGTTACTTAAGGCCAGAAGTTTGACACCAGCCAGGCCAACAAAGTGAGACCCCATGTCCACAAAACAATTTAAAAATTAGCCAAGTGTCGTCATGTATACCTATAGTCCCAGCTACTCAGGAGGCTCAGGCAGGAGGATCCTTAGCCCAGGAGCTCAAGACTGCAGTGAGTTGTGATAGTACTACTGTACTCCAGCCTGGGTGACAGGGTGAGACCTCATCTCCTAAAATAAAAAACAAAGAAAAAAAATAGTACAAGTAGCAAGTTGTATGTGGCTTATTCTGAATATTTCTAAACTAGAAGTTCTCAATCTTTTGGGGTCTAGGATGTCTTTACATTTTTTAACTTTATTAAAGACCTCTAAGACTATTTCTTTATATAAATAAGTATATTAAAACTAGAAAATAAGACAGAATTTTAAAAATATTCACATATAAAGCCATTACATGTTGATACAATACAAGATTCTTAAAATATTTAACATTCATTACATATTAATAATAAAACCATTACATGTTGATATAATACTCGCTCTTTCACCCAGGCTGGAGTGAAGTGGCGTAATCTCAGCTCACTGCAGCCTCCGCCTCCCAGGCTCAAGCGATTCTCCTACCTCAGCCTCCCAAGTAGCTGGGATTACAGGCGCCCACTACCATGCCCGGCTAATTATTGTATTTTGTCAGTAGAGACAGGGTTTAGCCATGTTGGCAAGGCTGGTCTTGAACTCCTGACCTCAGGTGATCCACCCGCCTGGGTCTCCTGAAGTGCTGGGATTACAGGCGTGAGCCACCGCGCCCACCCTGATTAATAAATGCTTAAAACACTGATTAGTCAGGCAACAACACTGGGCAAGGGTCTCCTCATTCCCAGCGATGCAAACCCTACTGCATGGCTCAGGGTTTGCAAGGGTTGTAGAGCTGAAAGGCTCTGACTTGAGATTTCATTCTTTTATTTGTACTGTGATACAGGTTCTGCTCTGTCACCCAGACTAGAGTGCAGCTGTGCACTTACAGCTCACTGCAGCCTCAACCTCCTGGCTTCAAGCCATCTCCCTGCCTCAGCTCCCCAGCAGCTGGTACTACAGTTGAGTGCCACCATGCCTGGCTATTTTTTTAATTTTGTTGTAGAGTGAGGGTCTTGTTATGTTGCCCAAGCTGGCCTCAAAACTCCTGACCTCAAGAGATCTGCCCACCTCAGCCTCCTGAGTAGCTGAAACTACAAGTACACATCACCATGCCTAGCTACATTTATTTAATTTTGAAAAATATTTTGTAAAGAGCAGATCTTGCTGTGTTGCCCAGGCTGGTCTTAAACTCCTGCCCTTCAAAGATACTCCCATCTCTGCTTCCCAAACAGCTGGGACTACAGACATGAGCCACTGCAATGAACTTGAAGAGATTTCTTTAATCTAGCATCCCATACTTGCTAGGATTGGGAACGGCAGTAGTGTTTTTTTAATTACTTAATAATTCAGTAAGAATCAAACTCAACCTTGACCTCTGCCTTCTCTCACATCCAGTCTGTCAGGAAATCCTGTTGACTGTCTTCAACACACACTAAAGATCCCCACCCAGCAACTCCCTGGCCTCCTCCCCTACTTCTCCCCTCTGACCATCTCTCTACACCACCATGACCCTGGTCAGGACCAAAATCATCTCCCACCTGGATGTTGCCATAACTTGGCCCCCATGCTTCTACCCAAATCTTCCCACAGTCTTTCTCAACTCAGCAGCCAGAGAATGCTTTTAAACTGGGAGACAGATCATGTCGCCTCTCTGCTTAGAACCCTCCTGCAGTTCCCATCTGAGTCAGAGTCAAAGCCAAAGCCCCAGCAATAACCTCCCAGGGCTTACGTGATCTGTACTGATCCCCACCCAGCAACTCCCTGGCCCCGTCCCCTAATTCTCTCCCTCTCTCCTTCTGCTCCACTGGCCTCCTTCCAGAGCCTCAGACACACCTCGGACACTTTATTCTGTTGTTTCTGCCTACAATCCTCTTCCCTCAGCACCTTGGCCAGCTCCTTCCCCTCCAAGTCTTTGCTCAATTTTCATTTAGAAGGCCACCCCTGACCGTAATATTTAACATTGCCATCTGTCCCCATGCCCACCATGCTCATTTCTTCTTTACTTTCTGCCTTCTTTTTTTCAAGATCTCACTGTCACCAAGGTTGGAGTGCACTGATACAATCACAGCTCACTGCAACCTCAAATTTCCAGGCTCAAGCAATCCTCCCACCTCAGCCTCCCGAGTAGCTGAGACTACAGGTTCATGCCATCATGCCTGGCTAATTTTTTTAGTATTTTATTTTATTTTATTTTATTTTGAGACAGAGTTTCACTCTTCTTGCCCAGGCTGGAGTGCAATGGTGGAATCCCAGCTCACTGCCACCTCCACCTCCCAGATTCACGTGATTCTCCTGCCTCAGCCTCCCAAGTAGCTGGGATTACAGGTGCGTGCCACCATGCCCAGCTAATTTGTGTATTTTTAGTAGAGACAGGGTTTCGCAATGTGGCCAGGCTGCTCTCGAACTCCTGACCTCAGGTGATCTGCCCACTTCGGTCTCCCAAAGTGCTGGAATTACAGGCGTGAGCCACCATGCCTGGCCAATTTTTTCATTTTTTGTAGAGACAGGGTCTTACTATGTTGCCCAGGCTGGTCTTGAACTCCTGGCCTCAAGTAATCCTCCTGCCTAAATTCCTAAAGTGCTGGGATTACTGGCATGAGCCATCATGCCTGGCTTCATGTTCATTTCTTCTTGCTGCTGCAATATAGTTTGCAGTTTTCTACATTCAGTGGCTTAAAACACCACAAATGTACCATCTTACAGTTCTGGGGGCCAGAAACATAAACTAGGTCTATTAAGGCTAAAGTCAAGGTATCAGCAGGGCTGCATTCCTTCTGGAGACTCTGAAGTGCTCCCTTGGCTTTTTCACCTTCTAGAAGCCACTCCCATTCCTTGGATCATGGCCCCGACTCCATCTTCAAAGCCAGAAGTGAAGCATCTTCAAATCTCCCTCTCTTACCTCTGCTTCCATCACCACATCTCCTGCTCCACTTCTGAATCTCCTACCCTCTTTCTTTTATAAAGACCCTGCGATTGCTGGGCATGGTGGCTACCACCCATAATCCCAACACTTTGGGAGGTCAAGGCAGGAGGAACATTTGAGGCCCGAAGTTTGAAACTAGCATGAACAACATAGTGAGACCCACCTCTAGAAAAAAATAAAAATAAATATTAGCCCGACATGGTGGTGTGTGCCTGTAGTCCCAGCTACTTGATAAGCTGAGGTGAGACAATCGATTTAGCCCAGGAGTTTGACATCAGCCTGGGCGACATAAACTAAATCCCATCTCTACAAGGATGAGGTGGGAGGATCACTTGAGCCCAGGAATTTGTGGCCAGCCTGGGCAACACAACAAGACCCCATCTGGCCAACATGGTGAAACACCGACTACAAAAATGAGCTAGGCATGGGTGACATGCATGTGTAGTCCCAGCTACTTCGGAGGCTGAGGTGGGAGAATCGCTTGATCTCAGGAGGTCAAAGCTATAATAAGCTATGATACATCATCGCACCCCAGCCTGGATGACACAGGGAGATTCTGTCTCAAAAAAAAAGAAAAAAATATAGCACACCAGCCTGGGCAACAAAATAAGACCGTCTCTCTCAGAAAAAAAGAAAATAAACTGTTTCTCTGAGTTCTGTAAACTGTTCTAGCAAATTATTAAACCCAAGAAGAGAGTTATGGGAACCCCTGATTTGTAACAGGTTGGTCAAAAGTACAGGTGACAACCTAGGACTTGCCACTGGCATCTGAAGTGAGGACAGTCTCGTGGGACTGAGCCCCTAATTTGTGGAGTCTGTGCTAAGTCCAGGTAGTATCAGAATAAAATCATGGGATACCCAGTTAATATCCAGAGCATGGAGAATTTGGTGTAGAAACTCCATACATACATTCAGTCAGAAGTGTGTGAGTAGAGACAAACACGGGCTTTTCTGTCACCTGTCTACCTGCTTAACTGCATAGGAGAGGCAATATGTGGTGCTCATGAACAAAGCAAGCATTAAAGTCCGACCAGACCCAACATTTGACTCAGTCTTAATATCTAGGTGAGCTTGAGCAAATCACTCATTATTCCTACGTCTTGATCACTTCATTCATAAAATGGGGATAACTGTGGCACCTACCTGTGATTCTGTGAGAATTACTGAAATACTATGCTTGGTGTTATTGTGATCATTATACCTATTCCAAACTATCTGACAAGGACTGTGATGGATGATAACATCAAAAAATTAGAAACTGTAGTCAGGTCTCTCAGGCAAAATTCCATACAAGCAGACTACTGTCTCTACAAAGCATTCCTGCCACACTTAATTCATCATTCCCTGAACAAAATGTGACATCTTCATTGTCCAGGTCTGTACAGTGCTGGTCTTCCTGCCTGAGCAGCTCACTTCATCCCATCCCAGCCCATTCTTCATCCCTCCACCTCCCCCTTCCCTCCCCACTCTCATACAACTCTTCCTCATCTTTCAGGACTTGGCTTCAAGGGTCACCTTAATTGGAAGCTTCTCTCACTGTCCAGAAGAGCTTCCCACTGCACTTGATGCATGCACTATTATTTGATCATTTTTGAGTTACAGTGCAAGTATTTTTGTACCTGAATAACATGTTGCCCAGTCAGTCTCTCTTCCTGGATTCAGAAGTCTTTCATGGTAGATCCAGCTGGAAGTGACAAAAAGACATTCTTTTGAAATAAAGGGATGACACAGATAGACGGAAGTTTTAAACGTCTTAAATGGTATGCGTGTGAAAATTAAACAAAATTCAAAGACTTGTGGGGAACATTTAGGAGGGAAAGTTACTGGGAATGTCATAAAAGGGTAATTTGTATTTTATTTTATTTTTTGAGACATTATTTTTATTTTATTTTTTATTTTCTGTCACCTAGGCTGGAGTGCAGTGGTGCAATTAGGGCTCGCTGCAGCCTCGACCACCTGGTCTCAAGTCATCTCACTTAATTTTTATTTGGTTTAAGGAATAAGTCTTGGTTGAGGGTGGTGGCTTACGCCTGTAATCTCAGCACTTTGGGAGGCCGAGAGGTATATTACTTGAGGCCAGGAATTTGAGATCAGCCTGAGCAATATATTAAGACCCTGTCTCTACCAAAAAACAGAGTGAATGTGTGGAAGACAATTTTTCCACAGACTGGGAGTGGAGGGAATAATTTCAGGATGATTCAAATGCATTACATATACTGTGCATTTTATTTCTATTATTACTACATTATAATATATAATGAAATAATTCTACAACTCACTATAATGTAGACTCAGTGGGATCTCTGAGCTTGTTTTCCTACAACGACACTGTCCATCTAGGGTGATGGGAGACAGTGACAGAACATCAGGCATTAGATTCTCATAAGGAGTGCACAACCTAGATCCCTCGCATGCATGCTTCACAACAGGGTTCGTGCTTCTGTGAGAATCGAATGCTGCTGCTCATCTGACAGGACACGGAGCTCAGGTGGTCATACAAGCGATAGGAGGGGCTAGAAATACAGATGAAGTTTCCCCTCACTCGCCTGCTGCTCACCTCCGGTTCTATGGCCCTTTGGTTGGAGACCGCTGCTCAAGTGCATTCGAAAGGATCCATCCCATGCCATTCTTCAGAGTCATCTTTACTGTGGCAGTGGTCAACTGTAGCACCCCTAAGCTCACAGGGCATACGCTTCACCTGGCATTTCACCACAATCAATAGTAAGTGGTAGCTTGAGTCATTGTGAGGTCACTTCCTGGAAATCACCAGCATCCTATATCCCATTAGGAAGGAGTTCAGCACTGCTCCTTGGATAACCAAACCTATTCCCAAATCCTATCTGTGTGGGTCTATCTCCTGGTACCCTTCCTAGCATCAATTCTGTATTTGTAGGAGTCCAATCAGGAGACACAAACAACTCAAAAGTTTAAACTGGAATGAGCAAGGTGGATCACACCTGTAATCTCAGCACTTTGGAAGGCCAAGGTGGGTGGATTGCCTTGAGCTCAGGAGTTTGAGACCAGTCTGGGAAATATGGTGAAATCCCATCTCTACAAAAAACACAAAAATTAGCTACGTGGTGGGACTTACCTGTAATCCCAGCAACGTGGGAGGCTGAGGCAGGAGAATTGCTTGAGCTTGGCAGGTGGAGGCTGCGATGAGCAGAGGTTGTGCCACTGCACTCCAGCCTGGGTGACAGCGTGAGACCCGGTATCAGAAAAAAATACATATATGTCAATTTAATATAAAAGTATTGATTTTGGCCAGGCGAAATGGCTCATGCCTGTAATCCCAGCACTTTGGGAGGCCAAGGCAGGCAGATCACCTGAGGTCAGGAGTTCGAGACCAGCCTGACCAACGCGGAGAAACCCAGTCTCTACCAAAAATACAAAATTAGCTGGGCATGGTGGCACATGGCTGTCATCCCAGTTACTCAGGAGGCTGAGGCAGGAGAATCACTTGAACCCGGCAGGCGGAGATTGCGGTGAGTCGAGATAGCGCCATTGCACTCCAGCCTGGGCAACAAGAGTGAAACTCCATCTCAAAAGAAAAAAAGGTATTAATTTTAACAGAGGATCAGCATAATGAGGGACACACTAGCACGAAGTAAAGACATCTCTAGAGAATACAGAACTAGCAGAGGTCAGGCATTATGGCTCATGCCTGTAATCTCAGCAATTTCGGAAGCCTAGACAGCAGGATCGCTTGAGGCCAGGAGTTGGAGACCAGTCAGAGCAACATAGTGAGACGCTGTGTCTACCCAAAAAAAAGAACAATATTAGCCAGGTGTGGTGGTGGTGTACACCTGTAGTTCCAGCTACTTGGGAGTCTGGGGTGGGAGGATCCCTTGAGCCTGGGAAGTCTACACTACAGTGAGCCAAGATCATGCCACTGAACTCCAGCCTAGGTGACAGAGTAAGACCCTGTCTTAGAAAAAGAAAAGAAAGTATTAATCCCCCTATGGGAATCTCCTCTTCTCCTGCCCTCTCAGGAACCTCACTTGTCAGTTCTTCCTCCCACTTTCCTGTATCTTTAACCTATCCCCCACTTTTAGCTCCTTCCCACCATCATTTAAATTACTCAAACTTCTTCTATTTTAAAAACCTCTTCCTAAACTCAGTGAGAGGTCTCCTGCACACCCACTGAGCCATCTGCTCCTCCTGGTGCCTTCGCTACAGCAGCCTGAACCATGTCTCTAATCCGTGAATCTCATCACGTTACTCCCCATTTACATCACTTCTCCTTGCCTCCGGGATTAAGTCAGACTCCTTAACAGCCCCTGCTCTGCCCTGCCTTGCAAGGCAGCCTCACTGCTTGCCCCTCTCCATTTCACCTACTATGGAGTCCAGCTGAGCCTCATCTTTCTCCTCTGGGACTCTCTGAAGTGGGTGATGCCCTCTGCTTATAATACGCTTCCCCTTAAACCTCTACTCTCTTCCTGGCTAGCTTCAGCTCCTCTGTCACTTGTCTGCTTTGGCATCACCTCCTCACGGAAGACTTCCTTGACTCCCCAGATTCTCAGGAGCATGGCAGGTGAGGTGCTCCTCCCGTGAATGGATGGAGATTAGGGAGAGTGTGTTATTCATGCTTAATTCACCAGTGCTTAGCTCAGTACCTAGCACAAAACAGTTACTGTGGTAGCCAAAGTAATAACCCCCACCCCCACCAATTGTTCATGTCCTATGTTACACAGCACAATTGCATAGGAAGGGGGAATTAAGAGTACAGATAAAATTAATGTTGAAAATCAGCTGACCTTAAAACAAGATTATCCTGGAATATCTAGAAGAGTCCATGTAATTACAAGCATTCTTTAAAAGTGGAAGAGGGAGGCAGAAGGTTAAGAACCAGAGACAGTGGGCACAATGGCTCATGCCTGTAATACCAATACTTTGGGAGGCCAAGGCAGGAAAATCCCTTGAGTGCAGGAGTTCAAGGTCAGCTCTGGCAACACACTTGAGGCCCCATCTCTACAAAAAAATCACAACAAGATTCACTGAGTGTCATGGTGCTCACCTGTAGTCCCAGATACTGGGAAGGCTGATGTGGTAGGATTGCTTGACCCTGGGAGTTTGAGGCTACAGTGAGCCGTGATTGGACCACTGAACTCCATCCTGAGTGACAGGGCAAGGTCCTGTTTCTAAAGAAAAAAACGACATTGGAATCAGGGTCCCCTCCATCCTAAGGTGCCTACAAGGCATCTCTCTCTGCAAACGAGTAAACATCATCCTCCAACTCCTCACAGAGCGGAGCAGCAGGAAAACTCCCTCACCTCATTTCTGTGCCACTTGGGAGGTCTGGACAGCCCAATAACCAGCTCCTTGCTAATGATGCAATCAGGAAATGGCTCGAGTTGAGCTAAGGAGAATTTGGATCCTTATTTTGGTTCTCAATAGGCAGGATAGGGTCCAGGCATGGTGGCTCATACCTGTAATCCTTGTACTGTGGGAGGCCAAGGTGAGAGGATTGCTTGAGGCCAGGAGCTCAAGACCAGCCTGGGCAACATAGCAAGACCTGGGTGGCATGCACCTGTGGTCCCTAGTACTTGGTAGGATGAGGTGGGAGGACTGATTACTTGACCCCAGGAGTTTCAGACAGAGCCAGACCATGTCTCAAAAAGTAAAAAAAAAAAAAAAGAGAGAGAGAGAGACTATAGGCAGGCACCACCACATTTGGCTAATTTTTAAATATTCTGTAGAGACAAGGTCTTGCTAGGTTGCCCAGGCTGGTCTAAAACTTCTGGTATCAGGCTGGGCATGGTGGCTGATGCTTGTAATCCCAGCACTTTAGAAGGCTGAGGCAGGCAAATCACCTGAAGTCAGGAGTTTGAGACCAGCCTGGCCAACATGGTGACTCCGACTCTACTAAAAATACAAAAATTAGCCGGGCAGTAGTGGCGTGTACCTGTAGTCTCAGCTACTTGGGAGGCTGAGTCAGGAGAATCACTTGAACCTGGGAGGCGGAGGTTGCAGTGGGCCAAGATCGTACCACTGCACTCCACCCTAGGCAACAGAGTGAGACTCTGTCTGAAAAAAAAAACAGAAAACAAACTCCTGGCATCAACACATCTTCCTGTCTTAGCCTCCAAATGCCCTGGGATTATGTTGTTTCCTATAATTGAAGACACTTGTTCTTATACTGCTTTAAGGTATAAAAGGAAAAAAAAAAACCATAATGACAAATGTTGGTGAAGGCCAGGCATGGTGGCTCAGCCTGTAATTCCAGAACTTTGGGAGGCTGAGGTGGGCAGATCACTCAAGGCCAGGAGTATGAGACCAGCCTGGGTGACATGGTAAAATCCGATCACTCCAAAAATATATAAAAATTAGCCAGGCGTTGAGATGAGAGAATCACTTGTGCCTGGGAGGTCAAGGCTGCAGTGACTGTGATGGTGTCCTTGGGCTGCAGCCTGAAAGACAGAGCAGCCCCTATCTAGAAAAAAAAATAATGGCAGTGAAGATGTGGAAGATGTGGAGGAATTGGAACCCACATACATTACTGGTGGGAACATAAAATCGTGTAAACACTTTGTTTGGGTATTTCTTTTCCTGTCATTTTAATTAGATTTTTTTTTTTTTAAATCAAGACAGGGTTTCACTATCTTGCCCAGGCTGGTCTTGAATTCATGGGCTCAATTCCTCCCATCGGAGCCTCCTGAGTAGCTGGGATTACAGGTGTGAGCCATCACACCCAACTGGTGTAGCCACTTAAGAAAACAGTCTGGCAGTTTCTCAAAAAGTACAGTCAGCATATAATGCAACAATTTCACTCCTAGGCATATATCCCAGAGAAATAAAAATATATATCCACACAAATATATATTGTACAACAATCTTCATAGCAGCATTATTCATAATGGCCAAAACATGGAAACAACCCAAATGTCCACTAACTGATGAACAGATAAACAAAATGCAGCGTGTCTCTACCATGGAATATTACTCAGCCATAGGAGGATGAAATATTGATACACACTATGACATAAAGCAACTTTGAAAACATTGTGCTAAGAGGGAAAAAAAGCCACAAAAGATCACATATTGTACAATTCTATTTGTCCAAATTAGGCAAATCTATAGCGACAAAAAAATGAATCAATGGTTGCCTAAGGCTGGGAGCCAAGGCAGGTTGGGGGAGTAGGAGGTAGTGGCTAAGGGGTATGGATTTCTCTATAGGGTAATAAAAGGTTCTAAAAGTGACTGTGGTAATCGATGCACAGCTCTGAATATTCTAAAACCTACTGAATTGCAGATTTCAATAAATAAAGTGAATGGCATGTGAATAATATTTTAACAAAGCTATTATTTAAAATAATAATAATAGGGGGCTGGGCACAGGTAGTCATGCCTGCCTGTAATCCCAGCACTTTGGGAGGCTGAGGCAGGAGGATCACTTGAGGTCAGGAGTTTTGAGCCCAGTCTGAGCAACCTGGCAAGATCCCATCTCTACAATAAAAAATGAAAAAATTGGCACACGTCTGTAGTCCCAGCTACTTGGGAGACTGAAGTGGGAGAACTGCTTGAGCCCAGGAGTTTGAGGCTACAGTGAACCATGACCACGTCACTGTACTGCAGCCTGAGCAACAGAGCAAGACTCTGTCTCTAAAAAGGAAAGAAAACAAATGCAAGTTTGTATCCCTTTGTGAGTGTAGCCAAGTTGGAGGAGAAATAGACAAGAACAAAAGAGCACTGAATAAGGAGGGTGAGTGGCTGGTTAGGCTTGGTTGCTAGTTAAGTGGTTTCTAAAGAATTCATTAGTAAAGTTACAGCTCTGGGGACAGTCATGCAAAGAATGAATGCTAAATTCATTACAAATACCCATGATCTTTCTTTACATGCCTTCTAGTGAAAAGTTCCTAAGTGCCTAAATAGCAAGTCTGCAACAATAGCAGCTGTTTGCTAAAGACTACGAAAAAGAAATGGAGGCCGGCCATGGTGGTTCACATCTGCAATCCCTGCACTTTGGGAGGCTGAGGCAGGCAGATCAACTGAGGTCAGGAGTCCGAGAGACGAGCCTGGCCAACATGGTGAAACCCCGTCTCTACTACAAATACAAAAATTAGCTGGGTGTGGTGGCGGGCACCCATAATCCCAGCTACTCGGGAGGCTGAGGCAGGAGAACTGCTTGAACCCAGAAGGCAAGGGTTACAGTGAGCTAAAATCGCACCATTGCACTCCAGCCTGGGCGACAAGAGCAAGACTCTATCTTAAACAAAAAAAAAGAAAAAAAGAAATGGCATCTTCTTCAAGAATGACATAGTTTTTCATGATAAAGCTCTAATTTTGCATTTGTTCAAGTATTGATTAGAATTACCCAATATGACACCAATCTTGGATAAAGTGCAAACAACATAATTTCATTTTCTCAATAATCAAAACTGACGAGGTAGTCTAATATCAATTCTGATCTTATTAAACACGGATCAGATTTTAAAAATAATGGAATGATGGAGCAAATAAGATGTTACAACCTGTTCCAAGGGGAATTCCAAAACCCACACATATCTGAGACCATCAAGTATGATGAAATATATTTGATTACTATACTGAAAAATAAACTGATTATAAAGCCAACAACAATTGGGCAGGGGTCTCCTATCCACAGCCACACAAACCCGATCATGCCACTATGTGGTTGCAAGGCCTACATAGCCTAGAAGGGACTGGTCTGACTTGGGATTTCATTTCATTTGTATTTATATTTTGAGACAGGGTCCCACTGTGTCACCCAGGATGGAGTGCAGTGGTATAATCATAGCTCACTGCAGCCTTGACCAAGTGGGCTCAAGAGATGCTCCTGCTTCAGCTGCCCCAATACCTGGAAATACAGGCAAGTACCACCATGTCAGGCTTTTAAAAATTATTATTAATTTTTTTAGAGAGAGAAGTCTTAATATGTGGCCCAAGCTGGCCTCAAACTCCTAGCCTCAAGAGATCTGCCCACCTCAACCTCCTGAGTAGGTACACACCACCATTCCCGGCTATATTTATTTTATTTTATTAAATTTCTTTCTTTTATTTTTGTAGAGAGGAGGCCTTGCTACGTTGCCCAGGCTGCTCTCAAACTCATGGCCTTAAAACACACTCCCATCTCTGCCTCTCAAACTGTTGGAACTATAGGTGTGAGCCACTGCCCCTGGCCTGACTTGGGATTTTTTAAATCTACATTCCTTTACTTGGTAGGATTGCAAAAGGCAGTAGGGTTTTTTTTAATCAATAATTTAATTAGAATCAAACTCAACCTTGACCCCTGCTTTCTCTCGCAGCTCACATCCAGTCTGTCATGAAATCCTATTGACTGACTTCAACATGAATCCATGCTCTGACCATCTCTCACCACCACTGTGCACCAGGTCAGGACCACTATCATCTCGCATTGGGATGTTGCCACAGCTTGGCCCCCATGCTTCTACACAAATCTTCCCAGAGTCTTTCTCAACTTGGCAGCCAGGGCGTGCTTTAAATTAGGAGACAGATCATGTCGCCTCTCTGCTGAGAACCCCTCGGTGGCTCCCATTTTAGTCAGAGTAAAACCAAAGCCCCAGCAATAGCATCCCAGGGCTTACGCGATCTGTACCGATCCCAGCCCAGCAACTCCCTGGCCTCCTCGCCAACTTTGCTCCCTCTTTCTCTTTGCTCCACTGACCTCCTTCCAGGGCTTCAGACACACCAGGGAGTTTCCTCCTAATGCCTTTATCCTGTTGACTCAGGCTACGATGCTCTTCCTTCAGCACCTTGGCCAGCTCCATCATCTGCTTCAAACTTTTGCTCAATATTCACTTATGAGGCCAACCCTGACCACTCTACTCAACATTGCCATTTGTCCCCATTCCCACCATGCTCATTTCTTTCTTTGTTTTTGAAACAAGGTCTTGCTCTATTGCCCAGGCTGGAGTACAGTGGTGCAATCATAGCTCACAGCAACCTCAACCTCCTGGGCTTAAACAATCCTCCCGCCTCAGCCTCCCTAGGAACTGAGACTACAGCTGCATGCAACAACACCTATCTAATTTTTTTTTTTTTTTTTTTTTTTGAGACAGAGTCTCAGTCATCCAGGCTGAAGTGTAACAGCACGATTTCGGCTTGCTGCAAAGTCTGCCTTTCAGGTTCAAGTGATTCTCTGCCTCAGCTTCCTGAGTAGCTGGGATTACAGGCACCACACCTGGCTAATTTTCGTATTTTTAGTAGAGATGGGGTTTCACCATATTGGCCAGGCTGGTCTTGAACTTCTGACCTTGTGATCCAACCCCCTCGGCCTCCTAAAAGTGCTGGGATCACAAATGTGAGCCACCGCGCCCGGCCTTTTTAAAAAAACTTTTTTAGACATGAGGTCTCATTATGTTGTCCAGGCTGGTCTTAAGCTCCTGGGCTCAAGCGATCCTCCTACCTCAGCCTCCCAAAGTGCTGGGATTACAGGCATGAGCAACTGTAACATAAAGCCCCAGCTTCATGTTCATTTTTTCTTGCTGCTACAACAAACTACCCTATATTTAGTGGTTTGAAACACCACAAATCTACCACCTTACAGTTCTGGGGTCCAGAAGCCCAACTAGATATATTAAGGCTAAAGTCAGGTGTCAAAGGGGCTGCATTCCTTCTGGAGGCTCTAGAGAGAATGTGCTCCCTTGCCTTTTCCAGCTTCTAGAAGCCACCCCCATTCCTTGACTCATCTTGAAGATGGCCCCTGACTCCATATTCAAGGCCAGAAGTGCAGCATCTTCAAATCTCCCTCTCTGACCTCTTCTTCCATCACCACATCTCCTTCTCTAACTCTGACTCTCCTACCTCCTTCTTTCTCTTATAAAGATCCTTGTGATTGGTGGGCATGGGGGCTCCCATCTGTAATCCCAACACTTTGGGAGGCCAAAGAGAAAGGAATGCTTGAGGCCAAGAGTTTGAGACCAGCCTGGGGAACATAGGAAGACCCCCCTGCCTTTACAAAATTAAAATTAAAATCAGCTGGACATGGTGATGCATGCCTGTAGTTCCAGCTACTGGAGAGGCTAAGGTGGAGGATCGCTTTAGCCTAGGAGGTCAAGGCTGCAGTGAGCTATGATCACATCACCATACTCCAGCCTCAGTGGCAGAGCGAGACTCTATCTCAAATATAAGAAAAGAAATATACATTTGGTCTCTGCCCCTGGTTCCTGGCATAGAGCTTCTAAAGCTGTTATAGAGTCCTTAGTGACCGAGGTAACAGGAGCATTTCCTGTTTTAATATTTAGTCTTAGTCCCAGTTTCCTGACACAAGGGCCTCTAAGGTCTTTCAGATCTGCAGCATGGTAAGAATGCATGTGGGATGCTGTTGAGCTGACAGAGTGGCTGCAAGCTCCCAGACTGCTTCAGGAGGAGGGCTGGCTGCCAGAGGAACCAACCACATTTATTTTTTTAAACGGAGTTTGGCTCTTGTAGTCCAGGCTGGAGTGCAATGGCACAATCTCAGCTCACTGCAACCTCCGCCTCCCAGGTTCAAGCAATTCTCCTACCTCGGCCTCCTGAGTAGGTGGAATTATAGGGATGTGCCACAATGCCCAGCTAATTTTTGTATTTTTAGTAGAGATGGGGTTTCACCATGTTGGTCAAGCTGGTTTCAAAAGCCTGACCTCGAGTGATCCACATGCCTCAGCCTCCCAAAGTGCTAGGATTACAGGCATGAGCCACTGCGCCCAGCCCCAACCACATTTCTTGAGGCTTGGAACTTTCAGCCTCACCTGCCGAACTCCAGGAGGCAAAAGGGACTGGAGATTGACTTAGCTACCAATGGTCAATCAATCATGCCTCCATAAAAACCCAAACAACAGGGTTGGAGAACTTCTGTGTCGCTGAACACAAGGAGGTGCTGGGAGGGTAGTGTGCCCAACAGAGGGCATGGAAGCTCTGTGCCCCTCCCCACTTACCTTGCCCTGTGCACCTCTTTCACTGGCTGTTCCTGAGATGGAGCCTTTACATTGAGCCAGTAACAGAAAATAAGCTGGCCAGATGAGGTGGCTCATGCCTGTAATCCTAGCACTTTGGGAGGCAGAGGTAGGGGGAAATCACTTGAGTCTAGGAATTTGAGACCAGCTTGGGCAACATAACAAGACCCTATCTATACAAAAAATAAAAGAAATTAGCCAGATGTGGTGGTGGGAACCCTGTAATTCCAGCTACTTGAGAGGCTGAGGCAGGAGAATCACTTGAGCCCTGGAGGTTGAGGCTTCAATGAGCTACGATTGCACCACTGCACGCCAGCCTGGACAAGAGAACGAGGCCCTGTCTTTAAAAAAAAAAAAAAAGAAAGAAAGAAAAGGAAAAACTCGTTTTTCTAAGTTCTGTGAGCTGTTCTAGCAAATAACTAAACTCAAGAAGAGAGTCATGGGAAACCCTGATTTCTAACTGGTTGGTCGAAATACAGGTGACAACCTAGGACTTGCAATTGGCATCTGAAGTAAGGGTGGTCTCGTGGGACTTAGCCCCTTACCTGTGAGGTCTGCACTAACCCCAGGTAGTGTCAAAATGGAATTGTGGAATACACAGTTGGTGTCCAGAGAGTTGGAGAATTGGTGTAGAAACTCCACACACATATTTGGTTAGAGTGTGAGAAGAGAGAAACATGAGTTCTTCTCTCACCTGTCTACCTGCTTAACTGCATAGGAGAGACAGTGCACGGTGCTCATGAACAAGGCAAGCATTAAAGTCAGACCAGACCTAACATTTGACTCAGTCTTAATATCCAGGCAAGCTTGGGCAAATCGTTCATTAACCCCAAGTCTTCATCATTTCGTGCATAAAATGGGGAAAACTGTGGCACCTACCTGTTTTTGTGAGAATTAATGAAATACTATGCTCGATGTTATTGTGATCATCATACTGTTTGACAAGTACAGTGAGGCATGATAACATCAAAAACTTAGAAACTGTAATGAGGTCTTGGGCAAAACTCCATATACTGTCTCTACAAAGCATTCCTGCCACACTTAATTCACCATTCCCTGAACAAAATGTGACATCTTCATTGTCCAGGTCTGTACAGTGCTGGTTTCCTTGCCTGAGCAGCTCACTCCATCCCATCCCAGCCCATTCCTCATCCCTCCACCTCCTCCTTCCCTCCCCACTCTCATACAACTCTTCCTCATCTTTCAGAACCTGGCTTTAATGTCACCTTAACTGGAAGCTTCTCTCACCCTCCAGAAGAGCTTCCCATTGCACTTGATGCATGCACTATTATTTGATCATTTTTGAGTTATAGTCCAAGTCTTTTTGTACCTGAATAACATGTTGCCCAGTCAGTCTCTCTTCCTGGATTCAGAAGTCTTTCATGGTAGATCCAGCTGGAGTGACAAAAATACATTCCTTGAAAAAAAAAAAACAAGAAAATAAAAAAGAGGGATGACACAGACATACATCAGTACTTAAAAGTTTTAAATGGTATGTGAAAAACAAACAAAATGCAAGGGCTTCCAGCAGAAACATAGGAGGGAAAGTGTTACTAGGAAATATAACAGAAGGTTACTTTTTATTTTATTTTATTTTTAGAAAAAGGGTCTTGCTCTATCGCCTAGGCTGGGCTGCAGTGGTGCAATCACAGTTAACTGAAGCCTCAACCTCCAGGGCTCCAGCAATATTCCCATCTAATTTTTATTTTATTTAAGAAACACAGTCTTGCTCTTACCAAAGCTAAAGTGCAGTGGTGTGATCATAGCTTACTGCAGCCTCAACCTTCTAGGCTCAAGTGATCCTCCAGTCTTAGCCTCCCCAGTACCTGGGACTATAGGTGTACAGTGCAATGTGTAGCTCAATTTTTTTTTAATTTTTAGTAGAGACAAAGTGTCGCTATGTTGACCAGGCTGGTGGTGATCTCCCACACTCAGGCAGTCCTCCCACCTCAACTTTCCGAAGTGCTGGGATTACAGGTTGACCTGCCTATAACACCACACAGGTGTGACCTCACACCTGGCTGAGGGGGTTAACTTTTAATTATATAAAGAGCTCAAAGGAAATATTAGAAGGAGCCTAAATGCCTACAGCAGCTGATGAGTAAACTGTGATACATCTACATAACAAAATATTATGCAACCATGAAAAGCATTAAGATAGATCAATAGGTATTGGCACAAATGTCCACGAAATATGAAAATGTGAAGTGATGTTCAATTGCCATGTATGTATCTTGACGGACATGGCCCATTTTCTCAATAGCAATTATTTCCTGAGATAAGATTATGGGTCTAAAGACTGAAGGAAATTTTTCACTTATTTATTTAAAAGTATTTACTATTTTTATAATTTAGTAAAAGATTAAACAGATCATCGCATTAGTAAAAGACAAATTAATTCTATAAACAAATGGAAAAGACACGGACAGCCCAGGCATGGTGGCTCACACTTATAATACTAGTATTTTGGGAGGGGTTGGTGGGGGGATTGCTGGAGGCCAGGAGTCCCCGACCAGCCTAAGAAACAAAGGAAGACCTTGTCTCTACTAAAAATTAAAAAAAAAATTGGCCAGGCATAGTGGCATGTGCCCATAAACCCAACTACTGAGGTGGAAGGATCACCTGAGACCAGGAGGTCAAGACTGCAGTGAGTTGAGACTGTGCCACTACACTCAAGCCTGGGAGACAGAGCGAGACTTCATCTCAAAAAAAGAAAAAAAAAAAAAAAAAGGACAATAAAGAAACAAAGCTAATAAGCTAACACAACGAAAGATAAAACATGTGACAAACAGGCCAGGTACGTGGCTCACACCTCTAATCCAGCACTTTGGGAGGCGGAGGCGGGTAGATCACGAGGTCAGGAGTTTGAGACCAGCCTGATCAATACGGTGAAACCCCATCTCTACTAAAAATACAAAAATTAGCCAGGCGTGGTGGTGTGTGCCTGTAATCTCAGCTACTCAGGAGGCTGAGGCAGAATTGCTTGAACCTTGGAGGCAGAGGTTGCAGTGAGCCAAGATCATACCACTGCACTATAGCCTGGGTGACAGAGCGAGACTGTGTCTCAAAAAAAAAAAAAAAAAGGCCGGGCGCGGTGGCTCAAGCCTGTAATCCCAGCACTTTGGGAGGCCGAGACGGGCGGATCACTAGGTCAGGAGATCGAGACCATCCTGGCGAACACGGTGAAACCCCGTCTCTACTAAAAAATACAAAAAACTAGCCGGGCGAGGCGGCGGGCGCCTGTAGTCCTAGCTACTCGGGAGGCTGAGGCAGGAGAATGGCGTAAACCCGTGGGGCGGAGCTTGCAGTGAGCTGAGATCCGGCCACTGCACTCTAGCCCGGGCGACAGAGCCAGACTCCGTCTCAAAAAAAAAAAAAAAAAAAGGTGACAAAGTAATATGAAGTCTTTTATTTATCACACAGAAAATAACTTGTTAAATTATAATACCTGTGCCAGTGAAGGTGCAGTGAAATGGCCATTTTCTTGTACTATCAGTGCTGTTTAAATTGTATACAAACCTTCCAGGATAAAGCTTGGAAATTTTTTTAAAATAATACAGACAGTGACTCATTATACTGCCTCCTCCAACTCCTGGCCTCAAGCAGTCCTCCCACCTCAGCCTCCCAAAGTGCTGGAATTACAGGCTGACAGCCACCATGCCTGAAAGCTTGGCAATTTACATCAAGGGTAATAAGAATGCACATACCGTCACTCACAGTAATCTCACTTCCGGAAATATCATCTTTGGATATAATTCAACCTAAACAAAAGGTGATATGCACAAACACAGTGAAAATCTAGAAGTAATTTTTTTCTCATTTTTTAAAAAATATGGAATGCTTCACAAATTTGCATGTCATTCTTTCACAGAGGCCATGCCAAACTCTCTATTGTTCCAACTTAAGTACATGTGCTACTGAAGCAAGCATGAGTAATTTAAGATAGAGTGGTTAAGTGAAATAAGGAAGAGATATGGGGAATTTAAAAAATCTATAGTACTTATAGGCACCTAGTAACAGCTCAGCAAATTATTATTTTTATGGTAATTTCACTCAATTAAAAATTGTCATTAAAAATTACCATTGTCATGGAACATAATGTACCCTACAGTATAATTGTAAAAACAGATACAATTTGTCCCTTGGTATATGGGGAGATTAGTTCCAGCTACCCCATTTCTGTGTATACCAAAATCCATGCGTACTCAAGTTTTCAAAGTCAGTCCTGTGGAATCCAAATATTTAAAAAATGGAAAAATTAGTGAGGTGTGGTGACAAGCACCTGTAGTCCCAGCTACCTGTGAGGTTGAGGCAGGAGGACTGCTTGAACCCAGGAGGTTGAGGCTGCAGTGAGCCATAATTGCACCACTGCAGTCCAGTCTGGGCAACAGAGTGAGACAGAAGGTTCACTTTTTAATAGAATTTTTCTGTTCACTTGAAGATATGGTCAGGACTGTGGCATAGGAAAATTCTTCATAAAATAACTATCTAATGCAATTAATGCTGGAGTTGGGGACAGAAAATGTTTTGGTGACTATTTATTCCTTCACTTGCTGTTATATAAACTATTGCCAGTAGGCATTTACTAACCAGAAGTGTCATCTCAGAGCTACTCACAATGAAAGGTGACGTCTGGGGCTCAGGTGTGTTGAGGTCCCTATGCCTGGGCTATGGGTGCTGAGTGGGACTTACTTGTGCATCCATTTTCTCTATTCCAGCACCAGGAAACTTGGGTTTATCCATCTTGATAAGATGTCATTGAAATTCCACTTGGCAAGAACCACAAATGGAAGAAAGGCCATGAAACCACAGGACAGTACTTGTTCTCAAGGGAATCTTTAGCTTAGGTGGCTCTGTAAAAGAGAAAGTATACTGTTGAAAAATCATTGCAGGTCAGGTGAGGTGGCTCATACCTATAATGCCAGCCACTGAGAGACAAAAGCAGGAGGATCCCATGAGGCCAGGAGTTGAAGACCAGTGAAATCTCTTGGGCAACACAGTGAAAACTCATCTCTACAAAAAATTAGAAAATGAGCTGGGTGTGGTAACACATTCCTATACTCCGAGCTACTCTGGAGGCTGAAATAGGAGGATCGCTTGAGCCCAGGAAGTAGAAGCTGTAGTGAGCTCTGATCTCACCACAGAACTCCAGCCTGGGTGACAGAGTGAGACCCTGTCTCAACACACACACACACACACACACACACACACACACACACACACCCTCATCTCAGTCTGCCCAGCCTTAACTAATCAAAGGGGTCTTCTGGTTACAGAAGAGGTATGCTCTTTTATAGGACAGGGAAAGACCAGCAAGCTTGTTCACAGCCTTTTCCTCATCCTCTGCTTAGTTTCCAAGAACCCTCACAGTGAAAACAGAGTCCCTGGGAAAACAACCTAAATCTTTAGGTTACCAGGGGAGAAATATGCCTCCTTTGTCAATTAATAAATGGAACACCTGCCTTAAAATCCAGGGAGTTCTGCTAGAATGAATCACTCCCTAAGACCTTGACCTATGCAGGAAACATGAAAAACTGGAGTTTAACCAGGCGCGGTGGCTCACGCCTGTAATCCCAGTACTTTGGGAGGCTGAGGCGGATGGATCATCTGAGGTCAAACCTGGCCAACATGGTGAAACCCCGCCTCTACTAAAACTACAAAAATTAGCTGGGCGTGGTGGTGGACGCCTGTAATCCCAGCTACTCCAGAGGCTGAGGCAGGAAAATCACTTGAACCCAGAAGGCGGAGGTTGCAATTACTTCTAGAATTTCCATTAGCCCTTTGAAATCCTTCAACATTCATTAAGGTCAAAGAGTTGTCACCTAATTTAATCTGATGGGCATGTGATCAGAGTCTTTCTAGGGAATAGAGACTCCCAAACTGTTCAGCTGGGAAGTGAGGAGATAATTTATTACTCAAAATCAAAGGGAAACGAAAAGAGGCCAACCTAGAGCGTCATTATTCTTTCTTGGCAGGGAATGGATTCCAGAGTCATTTTGTGACCTTTACCTTCTGTGACCTCCTTATTAGCATCTAAAAGCTTCCAGCATAGGATGCAGCCAGCTAGGTTCTCTTCTAATGTAATAAAATCTGCTTCAGCAAAGCTTATGCAGAGCCATCTCCAGACTCCAGAAATAACAGGCTATAAATTACTGGATCTCCCATTTGATATAATAAAGTATAAGCACGCTCCTGAATGACTCCTCTACATACTACTCTGGGTGACTTGAAGTGAATTTGATTCAAGTACTGGAGCGAGTGCAAAGCAGAGCTAGATCTAGGATTAATGTGCTTGGGCCCAGCTCCTCACTACTCACCTATGAGTACAGTTCCAGAACCTAAGTAGAGGGTGGGGAAACAAGGCTCCTGGCTTTTTTCCCTAATGCCTGCCATCTCTTTCAGATTTCTTATTTATTTGCAAAGAAACTAAACAGGCTCGACTAAAAAAACTAAATGATTAAACCCTACACAGAGAATCTCCAAAGATTCACAAAATATCATTCAAGACTGTTAGAAAGACAGCCTTGAGGATAACTTGATGTACCAGTGATCTACAATATTTGGGATCATTCCAAATTCCCGTCAAGGATCTGCCTATATCAACACAGGGACAAAGGACCAACCATTCAAATGGGCCCTGCTGCCAAAATGCCATCTCTTCATATTGTTCCATTTAACAAAACTGCAGCCTGTCATCTATCCTTAAGTCCCTTGGCCAATGGTACAGTGCCAGAGTATGCTACTCCCTAGTAGGAAATCAACAGGATGACCTACTAAACACCATTCAGAAGATGCTAAGGCCCATGAATTGCAACAGGAAAGAAAAGACACATAATTAGTCAGACAGGTACATGCTGGGCCAAAAATGCACTACAACCCCCACCCAATTCTGCCTAATCCTAGCTGGGCTGACACCAACCTGATGAGTCAGGCCTACAAGATCTCAAACTAAAACAGAAACTCCTGAACTGGGTTCTTGCAAACCCAGGAAGCAGCAGTAAACCATTAAAGAACAGATAAGGTCTGGAGGTGAGGGGGGAGTTTCAGATAAATGAAATGCTGGTAGAACACAGGGCCCAAAGGAGCAAAAGTTAACCTAAGCCCAGGTAGAACCTTGTTTACCAGAGTACTAGGCACGGGGTGTGGCAACTATTCTAACCAAAGAGGCTCCACTGGGTGTGGGTTAGCAATCCAAAGTATGGCATGTATAGGGCTGGTGGAATACAGGGTGACTGAAACAAAAGCTTCAGAACCAGAAAGACCACATCTGGGGACACAGCACAAAACTCTCAAGAGATGAATCTTTGTAAGTGTGAGGCAGAACTATGTAACAGTATCAGGAGATCTGCTGGTGCCCAGCAAGAGCTCCAAATGGGCTATATGCAGGGATGCAGGCTGTGGTCTCAGAAGAGGAGGTTCACAAAAGTCATTCAGTCCAAGACCCCAAACTGTGTTCTCTACTAAAAGGAATCAAGGCCACCTAGAGAAATGGCTGACTCCATGTATGGTACAGTATATTGATCCTGGAACATCTTTTTTGCCAGAAAGCAAGGAAGTCATCAAAGTCCAACAGGATCACATCAAAAAGACAGGAGCGTCAACTTGAAGAGATAATTATTAACCTCGATGAGACAATGTAAGCATCCAAAACAATAAAGACTGCAATGGCCTGAAATACATCAAATGCAAACAATAATCTATGAGTTCATGATGATATTCAGAAAAAAAAACTATTGGTCACTAGAGGGAAGGTTACTAGGTCACTAACTTACTACTCTGAAAAGTGACTTAAAATGAGAGGTAGGGTGGAGAATTAGCTATTTATTCAGTTTTTCCCTTACAAACATAAATTTTTAGGGAGATTAAAGCAGATGAAACAAATCTGGAAAAATGGAGGTAACTGCTTAATCGGAGGGTTGGGTACGTGGAGGTTCATCCTATTTCTTTTGTGTATGTTTGAACCCCCTACAAAAAAAGCACAAGACAGAATGTGAGCCAAGCAGCTTGGGGTTCAGGCAAGGCTTCTGCCTACAAGAGACACTAGGATATGAGGGGTAGTTTTAGCCCTGATGGGCTGAGCCAACTGGAGGTACATAGGGAGGTGCTAAATTGCAGAGGTATCATGCTGCCCAGCACTTGATCAAATCCTAGATGCTAGGACTGCTTGGTAGCATGCTTCCTAGGTGGTGGATCTGAGGCTACCTACAGAACTTCCTTTGCAGTCGTAATTTGCTCAGAAACTACAAAAGGGCTTGCTCTTGAAAATGGAGTCGGTCTTTGTCCATTTCATGCTGCTATAAAAGAATGCCACAGACTGCATAATTTACGAGAAGGAAAAAAGGAAGGAAGGAAGGAAGGAAGGAAGGAAGGAAGGAAGGAAGGAAGGAAGGAAGGAAGGAAGGAAGGAAGGAAGGAAGGAAGGAAAGGGAAGGGAAGGGAAGGAAGGGAGGGAAGGAGGGAAAAAGGGAAGGCAGGAAGGAGGAAGGGGAGGAAGGCAAGGAAGGGAAGGAAGGGAAGGGAAGGAAGGGAAAGAGGGAAAGAGGGAAGGAGGAAGGGAGGGAAGGAGGGAGGGGGAGAGAGAGGAAGGGAGGGGAAAGGAAGAGAACGGAAGAACAGGGAAGGGAAGGGAAGCGAAGGGAACGGAAAGGAACGGAACGGAAAGGAAAGGAAAGGAAAAGGTGAAAGGAAGAAACTTTATTTCTTGTAGTTCTGGATGCTATGAAATCCAAGGTTGAGGGGCCTGCATCTAGTAGGGATCTTCTTGCTGCATCATCCCACGACAGAAGGCAGAAGGACAAGAGAGTGCAAGACAGCAAGAGGGCAAAAGGGGCTGAACTCTCTTTTATAATAAGACCACTCTGTGATTACTTATCTATTACCATAATAACAACATTAACTCATTCATGAAGGCTCTCTTATTAGGCCCCACATCCCAACTGTTGCATTGAGGATTGAGTTTCCAGCACATAAACTTTGGGGGACACACTTAAACCACAGCAGAGCACTTATGTAAATTCAACCACGAGGAGCTGGGAAAATCAAAGGCATGAGAAAGACAGCAAAGGCTAGCAGAGAAATACGCGCAGGTTAAGGAAAAAAGTCAGAGTGAATCCTGTAGTGCAGGCTACTTTATCAAAAGCACCTAAAAAAGATCTCATTAACTGCCCCAACTCACCTCCACCCACATCTAAAGGGCCACACACAGCACCACCAAAGGCAGCACAATGAGAACAGCATTCTCCTCAACAGACGAGCTGTGAGTATCCATACACCTAACTCAATAGCTCCAGAACAGCCCTAAAACAGCTCCTCCCCAACCACCACTCAAGTCACCAGCTGGGAAAGTATTCAGAAAACCCAAATCCTACACACCACTACCAAACAAATTAAACGGCAAAGAACAACCCATTTAAACAGCAATGCCAGTTGCTGGGGAGAAAAAGGAACAATGAGTAAAGGAAAAGCAGACCTCTTGGGGTCCACCAAGACCGAGTTTCTCAGCTTCAGCACTTTCAAATGTAGAATCCTCTGGGGATTGTGGAGCTCCACGAGGCATGTTGTCCTCAAAGATAAATAAGCAGGCAAGCTGGCTAGAAAATTGCTAAGGGTATTATTCTTCAAAGAATCTTTATAGGGTCAAACAGGAATGTGTCTTACGGGCTATGTGTATTCCCCACAGATTCTGAGGATGATGTCAGTATCCCTTTCCAGATGTGTTGAATAATTTGCGGTCACTTGTATTCCTGCCACTGAGTACCATAGTTTTGCTAATTTGAACTGATTCCAGCTCACACTGACCCCGGCTCCCTGGATCTGGTTACCATTAGCCAAGACTGTCATCCATATTGTACCCTTTCAAAGAGTCCTAAAAAGAGCTCTTCACCTACTCTTCCAAGACAAGTAAAAATGTCTGCCAAAGAAATGGGGAAAAAAGATTGAGAGAGAGAAAACAATTAACATACTAACAAGAGAGCAAAAAGCGAAGGGGAAGGAGAAACTAGGAAAATCATACATGGGCTCACACCTATTTCCAAAGCTGGGCTAATATTCTTTTGCTTGTGTCTGAGTAAGTCACCAATTTTAACCTGCTAATGAAAAAGAAAAGAAAAAGAGAATGAAAGAAGCAGGCCCAGGACGGGCACGGTGATAGGATTAAAGTGCTGTAATCCTAGCACTTTGGGAGGCCGAGGCGGGTGGATCACCCCAGGTCAGGAGTTCGAGACCAGCCTGGTCAACCTGGTGAAACACCATCTCTACTAAAAACACAAAAAATTAGCTGGGCATGGTGGCGCATGCCTGTAAACCCAGCTACTCGGGAGGCCGAGCAGGAGAACAGCTTGAACCCGGAACGTAGAGAATGTGATGACCTGAGATCACATCATTGCCCTCAAGCCAGGGCAATGAGAGCAAAACTCGGTCTCAAAAGAAAAAAAAAAGCCATAAAATAACTCAGATTTCATTAAATACAACCCTAGTGGTGAATGACTACTGGTCAACAATAAAAAAGATGGATTACTCAGAACAGAGATTAAGAGTCCAGTAAGAATCCAGGAATCTTACCCTTAAATAATGAAGGAAATTCTTTCCTTGGAAAGTAATATCCTCTCAGGCCAGGAACTCCATTAGTAGACAGCCTTTTTAAAAAAAACATTTCTGGCCGGGCATGGGTTCACGCCTCTAATCCCAGCACTTTGGAGGGCTGAGGCAGGAAGATCACCTGAGGTCAGGAGTTCAAGACCGGCCTGGCCAACATGGCGAAACCCCATCTCCACTAAAAATACAAAAATTAGCCTGGCGTGGTGCTGGGCACCTGTAATCCCAGCAACTCGGGAGGCTAAAGGCAGAAGAATCGCTTGAACCCAGGAGGCAGAGGTTGCAGTGAGCCAAGGTCGCGCCATTGCACTCCAGCCTGGGTGACAAGAGGGAAAACTGTCTCAAAAAAAAAAAATTCCTTTGGGAAGAACTTCTACATAAAAATCTCCAACATGAGATTGGAAAAAACGGTATGGGATCATCCCCGGACCTTTGGCTTTTACAGTTGGAGCTATAAGAACAAAAAGAAAAAAGGATGTCATTTAAACACAATATGTAGAAAAGCATAATTATTGAATCTGTATTGGTCTTTAACTTTTATACTTTGATCTTTAATTCTGTTCTTGTTACTGAGTCCAAAGAAAAATAGTATGAGTAAAATAAAAAGAACACCATAAATGCTAATATTCTGTTTATCAAAGTCTGCAGTGAAATATCCCATTAAATCCAAGTGCAGTGACTCACACCCATAATCCCAGAACTTTGGGAGGCTGAGGCGGGTGAATCTCCTGAGGTCAGGTGTCCAAGGTCAGCCTGGTCAACATGGTGAAACCCCAACTCTACTACAAATACAAAAATTAGGCAGGCGTGGTGGCAGGGGTCTATAATCCCAGCTACTCAGGAGGCTAAGGCAGGGAGAACTGCTTGAACCCAGGAGGTGAGGTTGCCATGAGCTGAGATCATACCACTGCACTTCAGCATGGGCGACAGAACAAAACTCCATCTTAAAAAAAAAAAAAAAAAATGCTAGCACGTGACATTTGCTATGGGGAGACTAGGGATATGATCTTGCTGCAGTCCTTCCATTTTAGTAATTGCAAACAGTGTGATTCCATTCTGTTTCATCCCCACTCCACTCCAGAGCCAAAATAAGAAAATCAATTATATTTCTATTTCTTTAAAAACATATCTAACTAAATCATCTAATTAAAAGATAATATGCACGGCTCCATACTAGTAAAAACAACTTCTTATGTCCTGAGTATCATGGACATTTGATGAATGCTTGTTCAGTTGACTGGTGTAGACTTCAATAATAACCTGTTCGATGCATTATGCCACATTAATCTTGCATCTCAAAAGTAGGACAAATACTGTTCTTTCAGTTTTGTCTAGCCAAAATGTAGTATTTACACGTATTTAAAAATGGGGTAATAAAAAGAAGATGAGTTTGTTCTAGAGAGTATGAGAATTTTGAAAACGTGAATTCTCCTGTCCTGGCACATAGTTAATACTTAGAGGCATATTATTTCATGTAGAAGCTACCATTAAAAGAAATTAATGTTAAACATTACTTCACATAATCTTCTAACCTGACTTAAGACTGAAGACCTACCTCACGAAGCTGATTTATCAAGTTGTAAATCTTCACCTGTTGAATTCATAAGTTCATCTCTGAAAGGTAAGAATAAATACTTAATATTCACTAGGCAATATTCAGCAAAGTAATATCCACCAGTATATATTTAACATTTCATCACCAAGGGTGGGTGTGAAAAGAAAAGACAGACTGGGCACAGTGGCTCACGCCTGTAATCCCAACACTTTGGGAGGCCAAGGTAGGCAGATCTTGAGGTCAGGAGTTCAAGACCAGTCTGACCAACATGGTCAAACCCCGTCTCTACTAAAAATACAAAAATTAGCCAAGTGTGGTGGCAGGTGCCTGTAATCCCAGCTACTCAGGAGGCTGAGGCAGGAGAATTGCCTGAACCCAGGAGGCAGAGATTGCAGGGAGCCAACCTCATGCCACTGTACTCTAAGCCTAAGTGAAAGATCAAGTCTCTATCTCAGGAGGGAAAAAAATCAATAATTAATTAATTAATTAATTAAGAAAAGACAAGACAATTGGGATGCTAGAGCACAACTAAATCTTCTTTTGAGGTTTCTATACAGTAACCAAACAAAATAATAATTGCAAATGGTCTCATCAGGTGCTTCGTGGAGGATGTGTCCTCACAAGTAAACTGGTATCTTTGCAACCCACAGGTCTTTGAAACATATTACAATAATCTTAAATGGGATCCTTTAATATCACATTGCATTCAAGACTATCTTCCTCTACACATCTATAAAAACAATCATTTATTCCCACATAGGCTTTAAAATCTCAGGTTTAAAAACAAGACATGGATACTATTTTCTTTAGCAAAAGTAGCAGAAAACTGTGAAAGAAAATGTCAATTGCGTGCCAGTCATATGAGGGCAGTCTTCACGTTTTAAAAGCTAACACTGGCATGACTTACTCAATGTTGGACCCAGATAAATTAAAAAGTGGAAGATAAAAATACCTAAAATAGGCCAGGTGCAGTGGCTCACGCCTGTAATCCCAGCACTTTGGGAGGCCGAGGCAGGCAGATCACCCGAGGTCGGGAGTTCGAGACCAGTCTGACAAACATAGACAAACCCCAACTCTACTAAAAATACAAAATTAGACAGGCATAGTGGCACATGCCTGTAATCCCAGCTCCTCAGGAGGTTGAGGCAGGAGAATCGCTTGAACCCAGGAGGCGGACATGGCATTGAGTCGAGATCGCACCATTGCATTCCAGCCTGGGCAAGGACAGCAAAACTCCATCTCAAAAAAAACCAAAACAAAACCATAAAATAACTCAGACTTAATTAAATATAACCCTGGTGGTGAATAAATATTTGTCAACGATAAAAAAAATTTATTACTCAGAACAGAGAGGAGAGTCCAATAAGAATCCAAGAGTCTTACCTTTTAATAAAAAAATGAATCCATTCCTTTGACAGCAATATCCTCTCCAGGTCAGGAATTCCATTAGTAGACAGCCTTCTTACAAAAAATTCCTGGCCAGGCATAGTGGTTCACATCTGTAATCCCAGCACGTTGGGAGGCTGAGGCAGAAGGATCATCTGAGGTCAGGAGTTCAAGACCAGCCTGGCCAACATGGTGAAACCCCGTCTCTACTAAAAATACAAAAATCAGGCTGGCATGATGGTGGGCGCCTGTAATCCCACCTACTTGGGAGGCTGAGGTAGGAGAATCACATGAACCCAAGAGGCAGAGGTTGCAGTGAGCCAAGATCACACCATTGCACTCCAGCCTGAGCAAGAAGAATGAAACCCCATCCCCCACCACAAAAAAAAGTTCCTTTGGAACGGCCTTCTACATAAAGATCTTCAACATGACACTGGAAAAAAGGGTATGGGATCATCACTGGACCTTTGGCTTTTACAGCTTGAGTTATAAGGACAAAAAGAAAAAGGGATATCATTTAAACACAATTATGTAGAATAGAATAACTATTAAATCTGTACTGGTCTTTAACTTTTATACTTTTATCTTTATTTCTGTTAATATAATTGAGTCTAAAGAAAAATAGCAATAAAATAAAAATATTATTGTTCAAAAAATTGAACAATAATAATCTGTTCAACGCATTATGCCAGATAAATCTTGCATCTCAAAAGTAGGACAAATACTGTTCTTCCAGTTCTGTCTACCCGTAAATGCAATATTTACATGTATTTCTAATGGGTTATTAAAAAGAAAATGAGTTCATTGTTCTAGAGAGTATGAAAATTTTGACAACATGAATTCTCTTGTCCTGGCACATAATTAATACTTAGAGGCATATTATTTCATGTGGAGGGTACCATTAAAAGAATTCAATGTTAAACCTTAAATAATGAGTGAAATAAAAACAACAGCAAAAATGCTAATATTCTGTTTATCAAAGTCTGCAGTGAAATATCCCATTAAAACCGGTTGTAGTGACTCACACCCGTAATCCCAGCAGTTTGAGAGGCCAACGTGGGTGAATCACCTGAGGTCAGGAGTTGGAGACCAGCCTGGCCAACACAGTGAAACCCCATCTCTAGTAAAAATACAAAAAGTAGCCAGACATTGGGGAGGGCGCCTGTAATCCCAGCTACTCAGGAGGCTGAAGAAGGAGAATCGCTTAAACCCGGGAGGCGGAGGCTGCAGTGAGCCAAGATCACGGAATTGCACTCCAGCCCAGGCAACAAGAGCTAAACTCTATCTCAAAACAAAACAAAACAAACAAACAAAAAACAGTAAGAGAAAACTGGAGCTAAGTCCTCTCATTGTATTTACTTTTCTAAAATAAAACAACATTATTAAAAAAATTATGGCCAAGCCCAGTGGCTCATGCCTGTAATCCCAGCGCTTTGTGAGGCCAATGTGGATAAATCACATGAGGTCAGGAGTTCAAGACCAGCCTGGCCAACATGGTGAAACCTCAACTCTACTATGATTACAAAAATTAGGAAGGCATGGTGGCAGGTGCCTGTAATCCCAGCTACTTGGGAGGCTGAGGCAAGTAGAATTGCTTAAACCCAGAAGGTAGAGCTTGCCATGAGCTGAGATCACACTACTGCACTGCAAGGGCAACAAAACAAAACTCCATCTAAAAAAAAAAAGAACTGCTAGCAGGTGCAATTATTCACAATATGTAGAAATTATTATTTTCTACATATTGTGTTTAAATGATATCCCTTTTTCTAATTGTTCTTATAGCTCAACCTGTAAAAGCCAAAGGTCCAGGGAGACGGGATATGATCTCACTGGCTATCCTTCCATTTTAGTAAATCTAAACAGTGTCATTCCATTCTGTTTCATCCCCACTCCAGAGCCAAAACAAGAAAATCAATTATATTTCTATTTCTTTAAAAACATATCTAACTAAATCTAATTAAAAGATAATATGCATGGCTCCACACTCTAAAAGAAAATTCTGTCCTATGTATCATGGACATTTGACGAATGCTTGTTCAGTTGACCGGTGTAGACTTCAATAATAATCTGTTCAATGCATTACGCCAGATAAATCTTGCATCTCAAAAGTAGGACAAATACTGTTCTTCCAGTTCTGTCTACCCGTAAATGCAATATTTACATGTATTTCTAATGGGTTAATAAAAAGGAAATGAGTTCACTGTTCTAGAGAGTATGAGAATTTTGACAACATGAATTCTCTTGTCCTGGCACATAATTAATACTTAGAGGCATATTATTTCATGTGGAGGGTACCATTAAAAGAATTCAATGTTAAATCTTAAATAATTATTTCACATAATCTTCTAATCTGACTTAAGATTGAAGACCTACCTCCTGAAGCTGTTTAATCAAGTTGTAAATCTTCACCTGTTGAATTCATACGTTCATGTCTGAAAGGTAAGAATACTTAATATTCACTAGGCAACATTAAGCAAAATAATATCCACTAGTACATATTTAACATTTCATCACCAAGGGTGGTTGTGATAAGAAAAGACAGGCTGGGCACGGTGGCTGACGCCTTTAATCCCAGCACTTTGGAACGCTAAGGCAGGCAGATCACGAGGTCAGGAGTTCGAGGCCAGCCGGGCCAACATGGTGAAACCCTGTCTCTACTAAAAATACAAACATTAACCACGCATGGTTGCAGGCACCTGTAATCCCAGCTACTCAGGAGGCTGAGGCAGGAGAATTGCCTGAACCCAGGAGGTGGATGTTGCAGAAACCACGATCACACCACTGCATTCCAGCCTGGGTGAAACAGCAAGATTCTGTCTCAATCAATCAATAAAAATGTAAGAAGGAAGCATTTACTGTGCATGTATATGCCTGGTATTATGTGAAGCACTTTACTGTCTTATCAAATCTTCAGGATAGATCTTCAGTTCTCATGACCACAAAAGAGGACACTAAAGCTCAGACAGGAGAAGAGACATGGCCAGCCTGTGTCCCCAGAGCCTACAGTCTTACCACCAGGTGAGACCGTTACACTGCTTCCAGGTATCACATGTTGTGAGATTTTTACTTTAAAATGAACCAAAAAAAACCAAAGGCAAAAAAGGCATAAGCTATTAAAAAGTGGGAGAAACACTAAGAGAACCTTAGGCACGTAACTAAAAATATTATGGAAATGTTACTGAATTCATTAGCAAATTTAATTCTAGATTTTCATTGAGGAGTAGGTTATATTGCTCATGATAAAGAAAAAAATGTTCACTTTAAGTATATTAACATAAATACCATCAATATGGTTTATCATGTTTAAACGTTCACTTAAAGCAATTCAGTTAAAATTCTGCATCTCATACAATTTTATAGTTTGCTAGTAGGTTACAAGTAAATAGTCATCCAAGTAAAAACAGTAAAACACATGATGTTTTCCACTGGTTATTGCTCTTTTTAGGTAAGCACTTGATATATACCAACAGACAGAGGATAATAACAAATTGCTAATTTCTTTCATCATTATACAAAGGTGGCTTCCGGACAGAATAGTGTAAGTGCAATGACGAATTTGAAATCTAATGTCAACTCAGTGATGCAGCAAGATAAAAGTAGAGACAATAGGGGCACCTTGGTGAGTACTGACTTTTTATTTATTTATTTATTTATTTTGAGATGGAGTTTTGCTCCTTTTGCCCAGGCTAGAGTGCAATGGTGCAATCTCGGCTCACCACAACCTCTGCCTCACGGGTTCAAGCGATCCTCCTGCCTCAGCCTCCCAAGTAGCAGGGATTACAGACATGTGCCCATCTAATTTTGTATTTTTAGTAGAGATGGGGTTTCTCCACATTGGTCAGGCTGGTCTTGAACGCCCGACCTCAAGTATCTGCCTGTCTCGACCTCTCAAAGTGCTGGGATTACAGGCGTGAGCCACCATGCCCGGACGAATTCCAAATTTAACGAAGCAGACTAAGAGAAACAATTCATTTTAAAAAATAACATTTGGCCAGGCACGGTGGCTCACACCTGTAATCCCAGCACTTTGGGAGGCTGAGGCAGGTGGATCAGCAGTTCAAGACCAGCCTGGCCAAGATCATGATACCGTCTCTTAAAAATACAAAAATCAGCCAGACGTGGTGGCTGGCGCCTGTAAACCCAGCTGCTCAGGAGGCTGAGGCAGAGAACTGCTTCAACCCAGGAGGCAGAGGTTGCAATGAGCAGAGATCACACCACTGCACTCCAGCCTGGGTGACAGAGTGAGGCTCTGTCTCAAAAAATAATAATAATAATTCAGTGAAATCCCTAAGATCCAGGGCTTTGCAATAAATATGTAAATAAATTCCCAATCTCCATGCTGAAAGTTTAAAAGAAATGCTAATAATTAAAGAAACACAACTTTTCCTTAGCTTTGCAGCAATTTAGAAACAGAGAGTGTTTCCAATATTTAGACACTACGAAGCACCTGACAAGGAGAAACGTGTAAGGAGGCATGACTCACCGGCAGCCCTGGGCCTGTCCACGGTACCCCCATGATGAAGAGTAACTCCACTGTGTAAATGCTCATGAACACAGGATTACAGGACTTTTCCAGTTTAGACATACCATATTTTCTTTCAGACAATTCTTCAACTTGCTTATGTAGATCAGCAATACGATTATTCCATTTCTCTGAAAACTGAGCAAAAGCTGATTCTCAATAATACATCCCTATGTCAGAGCAGCACTAACATATAAGAACTTATTTCATATATTTTACATTCTAACAGTCCACATCATTTTACTGCTTTCAAAAAAAAAATTTCCCTTCTTTGGCGGTTCTTAGAATTGGTTTAATGAGAGACTATTAGAGAAGCTGAAAAGCAGGAGGGCAGAAAAGTTCAATCAAATTAAACACGGTAACAGGGAGGCCACAATGAGGAGGTCTCCAGGGGTCTTTTAGGAAACTTCCTAAAACATGTCTCAGCTGTGTGGAAATAAGACTTTACAGCAGCTGGGTGTGGTGGTGCAGGCCTGTAATCCTAGCACTTTGGCAGCAGAGGCAGGCGGATGGCTTTGAGCTCAGGGTAACATAGCCAAAAACTCCCCTCCCCACCCCCACCCATCTCTACCAAAAATACAAAACAGCCAGGCATGGTGGTGGGTGCCTATAGTCCCATCTACTCAGGAGGCTGAGGCAGGAGAATCACTTGAACCCAGGAAGCAGACATTGCAGTGAGCCGAGACCATGCTACTGCCAGCCTGGATGACAGAGCAACACTCCACCTCAAAAAAGAAAAAACAAAAACAAAAACAAGGTTAAAGGGGACCCCAGACCTTAAAGGTACAAGTTTAAGAGGGACCCTTAAGCAAAAAATGCCAACCCTTTTTCTCTCAATCTTTGAAACACCAGGAGGGTGTAACAGTTTTGCAGCCTAGCTGTAGCAGGCTGATGCCCCCAAGATGCCCATATCCTAATCCCGGAAACTGGTGAACATGACCTTGTATGGCAAAAGGGGCTTTGCAGATATAATGAAGTTAAGGGTCTTTGGCTGGCTTGTACTGGCGGGGTTAATGTACTCACCCAGATCCTTATAAGAGCAGAGAAGGTGATGGAGAGGGTGGGAGGTGTAGTGACGGAAGCAGGAAACTCCAGTCATTCAGGACATGCAGCACAAGCTGAGAAGTGCAGGCCGCCTCCAGGGCCAGGAGACAGATTCTCCCGCAGAGCCTCAGAAGGCAACAACCCTGCTGCCACCTTGCTTCAGTGGGACTTACTTTAGAATTCTGGTCTTCAGAACTGTAAGGGAATACATTCGTGTTGTTTTAAGTCACTAAGTGTGTGGTAATTTGTTGCAGCAGCCACGGGAACCTAGTAGTAAAGCCTCAAAACCCATCTGAAGGGGCTGGGCTCGGTGGCTCATGTCTGTAATCCCAGCACTTTGGGAGGCCGAGGAGGGGAGATCACTTGAGGTCAGGAGTTCAAGACCAGCCTGGCCAACGTGGCGAAGTGCCATCTCTACAAAAAATACAAAAATTAGCCAGGCATGGTGGCACATACCTGTAATCTCAGCTACTCAGGAGGCTGAGACATGAGAATTGTTTGCACCTGGGGTTGGGGGGTGGAGGCTGCAATGAGCTGAGATTGCACCACTGCACTCCCGCCTGGGTGACAAGAGCGAGGCTCTATCTCGAAAACAAAAACAAAACAAACTAAAAAACCCACCTGAAGAAGTTTCCAGTTCTGCCAGCAGTCCCCCACCCAACCCTTGGAAGCAGACATTCCATTGCTGTGGGCCATGGACAGGCAAAAGGAAGCACCTCCTCGTGGCAGAGGCCTACCCAGGAGAAACCCAAGGGAAGGCACTGCCTGGCCAGGCTCTCTGCCAAAGCCATATTATGGTGTTTTTTGTTTTTGTTTTTGTTTTGAGACACAGTTTCACTCTGTCTCCCAGACTGGAGTGCAGTGGCACAATCTTGGCTCACTTCGACCTCTGCCTCCCCAGTTTAAGCAATTCTCCTGCCTCAGCCTCCTGAGTAGCTGGAATTACAGGAACATAGCACGCCTAGCTAATTTTTTTATTTTTAGTAGAGATGGGGTTTTGCCATGTTGCCCAGGCTAGACTTGAACACCTTACCTCAAGTGATCCACCTGTCTCAGCCTCCCAAACCGCTGGGATTACAGGAGTGAGCCACCGCACCCAGCACTCGCCAAGGCCTTTGATGGCAGGCTTTTTCCAGGGGATCAGTCCTGGTCTGGTCTGGCTCTGCCCACTCTCCCTCTCACCTAGCTGGAATCCCTAGCTCCTTCTCAGTAGAGGAGAGTGTGGACCCCAACCCCAGCTTGGTATGGTTCAGATCTGCATTTCACTCATGGAACCTGGCTGCTCCCCAAGCCGTGGAGAAAAACAGGGTCTCTCTGCAGGTATGATACAGGATGGGCCTGTCCCCAGGACCCTGTGAGAGGGAAGCCCAATGTCCCACCAGATTGGCAGAGCTGGGAAACAGAAAGTTTTATGATAGCCCTAAGGAAAAAAACAGGCAGCAGAGGAAGCAGGACAGCACTCACATGGAACCCATGTCACTGCCTGAGTGAGGTGAGGGAGGAGTGCACCCCAGTGACATGAGGGGGAAGAGAGGCGCGGTTCCAGGGCAGCTTTCCCCCTCATTTCCTCCCATGTTACTCTGATCCCCTCCAGGTGAGCCTGCCCACTTTGTGCCCAGGAGCCTGTAGAAAAACACAGCACCAAATGGTTATGGCCCCAGGAGTGGGGCACAGCAGGGAGGAGTCGTGGACAGAGGACAGGCAGGGGAGGAGGGAGTGGGCCTCAAACTCCAGGAGGGGGCCCTTCTCATGGGTCCTCCTTTTTGGCTTCTCCTTCTTTACCCTGGGCTGATCACCCAGGGAAGAACTGAAGCAAGGTTTCTCACCCTCAGGTCCAAGGGATTCAACTACCGGGCCCTTAGGGAGGTGTGATGAGCCCCCTGAAAGGATGCAAGGTTTTTTTTTTTGTTTTTGTTTTTTGTTTTTTGGAGATGGAGTTTCGCTCTTGTCACCAAGGCTGGAGTGCAGTGGTGCAATCTCACCTCACTGCAACCTCTGCCCCCCGGGTTCAAGTGAATCTCCTGCCTCAGCCTCCAGAGTAGGCTGTAAGGTGTAAGGCCACCTGTAAGGTGGCCACCACCACGCCTAATTTTTTGCATTTTTAGTAGAGATGAGGTTTCGCCATGTTGGGCACGCTGGTCTCGAACTCCTGACCTCAGGTGATCCGACCAGCTCGGCCTCCCAAAGTTCTGGGATTACAGGCGTGACCACTGCGCTTGGCCACAATGCAAGGTTTTGCATGGAGAGCATGTACATGCCTTTCTGGAAAACAGTCCACAGCTTATTCTCAGCAGGCTCCACAGTCAAAAAAGGTTAGAACTCTTGCTACAGAGCTGTGGGAGCACCTAGGTGAGGGGCCTGCCAAGGGCATTCTAGGGACTACCTGGGCACCCGAGCCCACTGTCCCCTAGGCAGGCTGTACTGCTTGGTATTTGCAGAGCTGAGGGGGTGGGGCATGTGGGGACTGTGAAATTGCCCTGAGATGACCCACAGTCCTCAGCTGGGAAGCGAGGGGTACATCTCCTGCAGCATCCTCCATCCCTAGACCATGGGGCCAGGAGAACTGATCCTTTCAGCAAGTCAAAAGCCTATTACTGACTTCTTCCCTGGCCATGTAGACAGTTGAACCAGGGCAGTCATATCAAGTAAATGTCTTGGTCTCTGTCACCGAGGTGACCAGTAGGCATTCCCAGGTGCAGTGAAGGTCCTGACACCAAGATATGCACCTGGCCACCTGAGGAAAGAGAAAAGACTATCCAAGGGGATGGGGCTGAGCTGGGTGTGGAGTGGTCCTTGTGGGTCTTGGTGAGTGGGAGGGGGAGCAGCATGATCCAGACCTTGAGGCAGAAGGACAACCAGGAGACAGCCTGGAAAATGTGCTGGACCCACAAGGGCTCAAGGCTGGCCAGAGAGGGAGGTGGGATAGGCTGGAAAGTCCTGAGGTCTGAAGATTGGCCCTGGCAGAAAGAAGCCAGGTAAGGTGGGGTGTTACCCGCACCCTGGGGGCCAAGTGCAGGCCAGATCAGGCCAATTACCGGGCCCTTAGAGAAATGTGAGCCCCTTGAAATAGTGGAAGTTTTTTTTTTTTTTTTGAGACGGAGTTTCGCTCTTCTCGCACAGGCTGGCACCTTTGCCCAGAGCAGGCACCAACATTTCTGGCTCTGGGTGTGACCTCAGAGTGGGGAAAATCCCCAACCCCCACCAGGACCACCTGCCGCCTAGACTACTTCAGATGCTGAGCCCAAGCCAGGGGCAGGAAGCTAGAATGACACCTAGGTTAATCCTGACAAAGTCCCTGGCTACCCCCAGCTACAGGGCTGAAGGGGAATTACAGCCCAAACCCCGGAAGCTGACTCTCTAACACTGAGCCCTCAGTGCCCACAGGGAGATAGAATCAGCACACTATCCAGATGGGGAAATGGGCTCCGAGAAGTGCAAGAGCCTTGCCCGATGCCCCAGACCAGGGCTCCAGGCCCAGAGTATTCTTTTGTCACTGTGTCCAGAGGGCAGCAGCTGCTCTAATGTACCTACCTGAGCCTGGCAACCTTCTCCAACTTCGGAAGCCCAGGAGCATGGCCCATGTCCACTGATGCACTTGGCATGAGACGCGACCAGAGGGATGGAGGCAGATGAGTTTCACCTCCTCCACTGGATTGTGAGGGCCTAGAAGGAGACAAGGCTCTGCTTGAGAAGACAGTGGATAGTGGTTTCCCTCTGGATGGATCTCCAGTGCCTGGATGGGACCTGGCTCAGACAGAGCACAGTTCTGCAGGTCCCTGAGGCACGGAGAGTTCACAGCTACTAAGTGTAGGAGTCTAAATTCAAAGCCAATAGCGTGACTCCAAAGTCCCTGACCTAGCCCCTGGACCACCCACCTCTCGGGATTCACCCTTGCAGGCTCATCAGATGCCCAGGCCAGCAGCACAGCCAGCCAGGACCAGGGAAACTTGAGAAGCCTCAGAGCACCCCCAAGTATTCCAATCTAATCCTGGCACCCCTGCCTCTCACCACCCTTCTTCCTGTTTTAACCTCACCGCCTACACAGAGCCTGGGCCACTTAACAGATGCCTCAATAAATCAAGAGTCTAATCTTCTTGGGGG